TTTCCCTCCCTGTAAAGATGCCTTGTTGACTTGACTGTGCTGACATTTTGAGTTATCAGCACATGTTTAATTTGTTGCTTATTTTGTACCCATGCTGTGTGTGTAATTTAACAAGGAGTTTGTGTTAAAAGAGGTTGAAACTGAACACTGTGTTGAAATTATGTAAGGGAGCTTCATTGGGGAACAATGGCATTTAACTTATGTGCTTTTAAGGCCTTTGAGTAAGGTAAATTTAAAAGTTAGCACAAACTATGAGAAACGGAAACAAAATTCTTTGGATTTAGTTTGTACTGTACATCCTACTATGTATATTATCAAATGTGGTGTTTTTCCTTTTTTCTGTCTAAGAAATGAAACATAATATGTACTTTAAGAAAGATATATTTTTTTATCACATTTATTTTTATGTGTGGCCCTGACTGTGTGCTAAAACTGAAACTAAAAGTCACTGATAATTACTATAATCCTGGCACCGAGTGCTTATGAACCACAGCACTTTTACCTGCAACCCAACAGAACTAAAACAGGGAACTGTTGCTACTGTTTAAGATGTCTGCTGCAACACTGCTGGAAATTGCCATAGCTGAATATTTCTAAATAAGGAATTGATATCATATAATGAAACAAGTGAAAAGTAGAAGTTGGCTTTTCATTTAAAGGAAATGTAAAGGACAATGTGTGCCATGCACAACACACTGTATCATATCAGAACTACTCAGAAATAGTAGCTGTTTGGTTCCTAGTGGAGACCCTGCAGTAGATGTTGAGTCATGTTCAAAACCTGGTTATGTATGACACTAAAATGTTAACTTTTTCTTGTTGTTTATACAATCTGCATACATATTTTAAGTCTTTGTATTTTGTGCACTGAGACACGTCAGCATCCAACACTTAAATGAGCATATTTTTGTTGTACTGCTACATGTAAAAACTTTATCATTGCAACTTTATTTAAGCATCTCATCTCAAGACGGTCTGATGGCCCTCTGCTGGTTTAGAAAAGTATCCCACCCATGAAAGACTTTAGACAAAAACTTCAGACAAACTCAATGACACCTAGTTAGCATTTCTCCTGGAAAGTTGACAATGTCCCATCTCTTTCTCCACCTCTCCACCACCATTTAAAAGCTTTGCCAATTACATGCCTGGTATGTTCTACTGTTGTGTTCACCTGGCATGAACCCAAGCAAGTGGAGCCTGGAGTATTCATTGCTTAACCTGGATGAAGGTCATGGAATCCAGCCCTTCCCTGCTCCGCTCCCCACTGAGCAAACATATGGTCATGGAGCACCTTGAACATGTTTGGGTGACCAGAGCTACTTGGCCCAAGCTGCAACATCAAAAGAGACAGAGGTACTGGAGGAGGTGTAGGCCCACCTTGCTAAAGCAGGAAAAGAACAAGGAGGGAGGGAGAGGCTGTCAACAACAATGATCATTATCCACTAGTTGTCTATAAACAGAAATACTCATGTGAAGTCACCTAGCTAGACATACCATAGATGTGAATGACGGCAGGCTTTCTGGCTTGCTTCTTCTGTTCTCTTCTCCTATTTGTGTTGATATAAATGCATCTAGTCATAAGTTACAATATCATCACCCCATTGTTCAAACAGCCAAGACTTCCATGTTGCCTCAGTGTTAAGCTCATTAGTGTCACCTGAAGGCATGTAAGAAAAAAAGACAAAGTAGAAAGACAAAAAAATATGTTTGGTATGTCTTTGGATAATGGACGCTTGCTGTGTTAAAAGTAAACAGGTCTGTGGCTTTGACAATGAATATGCTGTAAACATTGGCCCAGAAAGTGACTTTAACATAAACTTCCACCTAAAAACCCAAGTTATGTGTATGTATGAGCATTCTCGTGTACAGTATGTGTACGAGCATACCTCCATTTCAGCCTGTGTGACTATGTCATTGCATGTGTGTATTTGTCTTTGGGCTGGCCGAAGGTGGCGATGGGGGTGGGGGTGTGTTGAAAATAATGAGTCGCTTTTAGACTTTGTGAATGGGGATGTGAGAGTGTCTCTGGTGTCTGAGCGTCCGGCCCAGGTGGCAACTGGAAGGCCGACTTCATTAGCCTTAAAGAGGAAACAAAGGAAGATACATTGTAAAAAAGTGCCATCCCTCATCTGCGAGGCCACTGCCTGACACATTAGGAATCTGTATGCTCAATTAACCACTGGCAGGCTCATTTTTCCTCTCTCTCTCTCTCTCTCTCCCCACTTTCTCTTTCCTTTGCTTAATCAGAGAAAGACAGATATCACACCAGATTCAGGCAAAACATTATACGCAGCATGTTAAAACTATGTTGCAACATATATTGGTTATGTTTTAATAATTTTGGCAGTGCTTCATTTAAAGTAAGCAGACACACAACTTTAAAAAGTAACACATCATGTGTGAAAGCAAATAACAAATTACTCATGTTTTGCAGAAGTCATTAAGTCACATTAAGATGTAACAAATTGTTAAATCAAGACTAAAAACAAGACACGAGTAAAATTACTGACAGTTTGTTTAAGCTATTAGGCATAGCACTGCTTGTTGTTAAAATGCTTTCAAAGCCTTTCTCTATGAATTCCACAACTGCCTCCATTTGTATTACAGGAGGAAGAGGAAGGTCACATACCCAGATGGAGAAGAAATGACATTCCAAAAACACAGTGAAGTACAGTTTGCACATGATTTCTGCTGTATTACTGGGACGTCTGTTTCAACAAAATGTGGTAGGTAATATACACAGGAACCATCCTGTTACAAATTACAAACATGACTGATTCACACCAAGAGTAAAACTAGAGAATTGCATTTTCTGAAGAAAATGCGTATGGATGCTGACTGCTGAAAGATCGCCCTGAAAATGCTGAACGTTTTGACACCTGAATGCTGTTGATAGCTGAAAGTATGCAGAAGAAGATCTTTCTCATTCATTTGAATGGGTGAAGATTTTCAGAATAAAGCTAAATATTTTAAAAGTATGATGTTTAGAAAACTTCTGAACAGAAGCATGAGTGCCCTTGAAGAGCTGAACATTCTAATAACTGAAATTATGCTGAAGAAGAATTTTCCCATTCATTTGAATGGAGCAAGATTTTCAAAATAAAGCTAAATATTTTATAAGTATGAAGTTTAGAAAACTTCTGAATAGAAGCATGAATGCCCTTGAAGAGCTGAACATTTTGGTAGCTGAAATTATGCTTAAGTTGAATTTCCCCATTCATTTGAATAGAGCAAGATTTTCAAAATAAAGCTAAATATTTTAAAAGTATGACGTTTAGAAAACTTTTGAACAGAAGCATAAATGCCATTGAAGAGCTGAACATTTTGATAGCTGAAATTATGCTGAAGTAGAATATTCCCATTCATTTCAATGGGGCAAGATTTTCAAAATAAAGCTAAATATTTCATAAGTATGAAGTTTAGAAAACTTCTGAATAGAAGCATGAATGCCCTTGAAGAGCTGAACATTTTGGTAGCTGAAATTATGCTTAAGTTGAATTTCCCCATTCATTTGAATAGAGCAAGATTTTCAAAATAAAGCTAAATATTTTAAAAGTATGACATTTAGAAAACTTTTGAACAGAAGCATAAATGCCATTGAAGAGCTGAACATTTTGATAGCTGAAATTATGCTGAAGTAGAATATTCCCATTCATTTCAATGGGGCAAGATTTTCAAAATAAAGCTAAATATTTTAAAAGTATGACATTTAGAAAACTTTTGAACAGAAGCATAAATGCCATTGAAGAGCTGAACATTTTGATAGCTGAAATTATGCTGAAGTAGAATATTCCCATTCATTTCAATGGGGCAAGATTTTCAAAATAAAGCTAAATATTTTAAAAGTATGACGTTTAGTAAACTTCTGAACAGAAGCATGAATGCCCTTTAAGAGCTGAACATTCTGATAGCTGAAATTCTGCTGAGGTTTGAATTTTCCCATTCATTTGAATGGAGCAAGATTTTCAAAATAAAGGTAAATATTTTAAAAGTATGAAGTTTACAACAGTTCTGAATAGAAGCATGAATGTCCTTGAAGAGCTGAACATTTTCATAGCTGAAATAAATGAAAAGTATGCAGAAGCAAACATTTCTCCATTCATTTGAATGGGGCAAGATTTTCAAAATAAAGCTAAAGATTTCAAAATTATGAAGTTTACAAAAGTTCTGAAGAGAAGCATGAATGCCCTTGAAGAGCTGAACATTTTGATAGCTGAAATTATGCTTAAGTTGAATTTCCCCATTCATTTGAATAGAGCAAGATTTTCAAAATAAAGCTAAATATTTTAAAAGTATGATGTTTAGAAAACTTTTGAACAGAAGCATAAATGCCATTGAAGAGCTGAACATTTTGATAGCTGAAATTATGCTGAAGTAGAATATTCCCATTCATTTCAATGGGGCAAGATTTTCAAAATAAAGCTAAATATTTCATAAGTATGAAGTTTAGAAAACTTCTGAATAGAAGCATGAATGCCCTTGAAGAGCTGAACATTTTGGTAGCTGAAATTATGCTTAAGTTGAATTTCCCCATTCATTTGAATAGAGCAAGATTTTCAAAATAAAGCTAAATATTTTAAAAGTATGACGTTTAGTAAACTTCTGAACAGAAGCATGAATGCCCTTTAAGAGCTGAACATTCTGATAGCTGAAATTCTGCTGAGGTTTGAATTTTCCCATTCATTTGAATGGAGCAAGATTTTCAAAATAAAGGTAAATATTTTAAAAGTATGAAGTTTACAACAGTTCTGAATAGAAGCATGAATGTCATTGAAGAGCTGAACATTTTCATAGCTGAAATAACAAAGTATGCAAAAGCAAACATTTCTCCATTCATTTCAATAGGGCAAGATTTTCAAAATAAAGCTAAAGATTTCAAAATTATGAAGTTTACAAAAGTTCTGAAGAGAAGCATGAATGTCCTTGAAAAGCTGAACATTTTAATAGCTGAAATAGCTGAAAGTATGCAGAAGCAAAAATTTCCCCATTCTTCTGAATGGGCAAAATTTTGCTAAAAAACACTAAATAGTTCAAAAAGTATGAAGTTTGGGAAAATTCTGAATAGATCCATGCATGTTCTGAAAAAGCTGAACATTTTGATACCTGAATGGTTATTCTACCTGAAATTATGCGGAACTAGTTAAGGGCCAAAAATGTACGGAATAATAATAATAATAATAAAGATTTGGAAAACAAGGTATGGATGCTGAGTCAGCATCCATACAATTACGACAGGTTCTTAGTTTATTGCAGATCATATATTTAGCTCACTCAGGCTCTGTAAGATTGCTTTATGTTTACACATAGTGTGTATTATATCAGAACTTATAAGACAGTGTAAATACCATTTTCATACATTACAATACAAATACAATACATATAAACAATACAATAAAGTATAAATGAGATATCATAAAAAATATCAAATTTGGTGCAGCAGAACCACACTTTTCCTTGTCAGAACCTGGCTCCTTGTTATTTCGTTTTGCAAACTTGCAGTCTTATATACTATGCTGACTCAGGCGACATTACTTGAGGCACTTTATCAGATTTCATGCAGCTCCCTCTGGAGACACTAAAGGCTTTATACATTGATGTAGTTTTACTTTCCAAGACTTGTAAACAGACTTTGGTGTATAAATGTTGATATAATGATCATTAAAAAAAGAAGTCACAAAGTGCAGCAACACCTTGTTTCCAGTCTTCCCCAACCACTGAGCAAGCACACATGTGAACATGCACAAGCACACACACAGATATCAGCGGGATCTTAGGATCCTTATCTTCCCATGGCACTCCTGTAAAAATGACAAAGTGCAATATGGACCTGGTAAGGTGGGGCTTTTGGTAGTGCTAGTGTTGGGGTAAGGGGTTTAAGGGGTTGCTGTGATATACATCCACTTTTGGTTAATGAGGCAAGCTGAACGCTCTTTAAAATCACAGAGATCACAGCTTAGGAGGCCTCCATCAAACACTTCACCACACATCACAGGACCAACTTCTTTTTATTACCAGACACACCCCTTCTCGCTCTCTCCCTCTGTAGTTCTCTTTTGAGGTCTATCAGTGAGATGAAAAATGGCAGGCAGCTGGCAGAGCACTTCCTTCCCCTTGTCAGGGTCAACAGTTCAGCATGCTGATAGAGACCCACACACCTCCATTAATAAGAGCTCCCTTGCACTCACACAGGTTGTTTTGCTGCATTGCTGGACAGCCATCACACCTACCTTTGTCTGGATTCCCCAGCGTTACATTCCTCCATTACTGCTTAAGTCACTGAATCTATTTAGTGATGACTGATGTCTGCTGCTGTATTTGATTTGAGTCTTTTAGCTGGTCTGAGAGAAATTACACAGTGAGTCTATGATCTATGCAATTATATTCCTGAAATTAGAAAATATCATTCTTTTTTTTTATATTTTAATTTTGGTGTCTTTTTACCAAGCCTTTTCTCTAGTATTGTAAACCCTTGGTCAGTAAGGTTATATGAGAAAAATGTATGTGAGTTTTACAAATTAAACCATTTAAATCTTGACTAGGACAACATAAAAACAATATTTTGAACACGCTCATGACAATGAACACATTTGATAATCACTTATTATCATTATTAATGTTACTTTCTATTGAGTTTTGGGGCTTTTAAAAGGCATATTTAAAATGTTTGGACTGGCAGTATCAGTTGCTCACTACTCAGGTCAAACCACTCATTTCAATTTGGATTTAAAAAGCAAAACAGCCTTCAGTGGCTGCTAATAGGACTTGCAGACTTTTGGTCTTAAAATAATAAAAATGAATGACAGTGAATGATTTATTCAAACAAGAGACATAATTAAAACTACTGTTTAACTCACTTTGTGACATCAGATTTAGTATCAGAATGGAGTGACAGCCCAGCCTGGTCAGACTTAGAATACCCTCAAAAAGAGGTGCTAATCACAATGCTGAGCTAGCCTTGTTGCACTGCTAATTACCTCTATTATGAAGATGCAGAGTGCCTGATCAGAGGGGCCTCCGTGTATATGAGTGCGTGCTTGTGTCTGTCTGTACATGTGTGTCTACTGGTGTGTGTCGATTAAGAGGAGGATTAGCTGTCCATCCTGAGGAGGGAGGCAACCAGGGGGTACTGGGGGGGTACCCCGCCCTCCTGGAGAAGAGCTCTGACCTTCTCATTTCATCCTCATTAGTATCTCATGTCAACAGAGCAGGCACTCCTTAATCATCTGCTATCATCCCAGGCCACACACACCAAAATAGTGCACATGGAAATGATGCCCCAGAAAAACACAAGCATGAACATACAGCTACTGTAAGTGTACACACAGATGTGGATACCAAAATACTCAGACCAACTTCTGAAAAGAGTAGAAACCTTCCGCATCAAATGATCTGTCAGGACGACTGAGCAATGTTACCAAAATAACTCAGACTTAATTTATTTCTATTTTTATTCATTTCAGTTCACCAGACAACACTACAATAATGGTTAGACTTGGACATGGGATCCTGTAGTGGACAGCAGTATGCCGGCATGACAGAGGGTGAGCTCGTCTGTCTGTGTCGGCCTTGGTGCCACTGAGACCCCAGCAGGGTTGGGGGGAGCGGGGGCTCAGGGTGCCAGCACAAATGAGCTCCATTCATTTCCCCACTTCGGCATATGGTGGCCTATTGTCCTCGGCCACAGAGGCAGAAGTGATGCAATTTGTTGGCATGTCCTGTCATTTCACAAACTGCCCATCCCACTGAGGCCTTGGCCAGCAGAAGACAAGCAAGGGCAGCTTGTTGTTTCACCCCATCCACACAAAACATGCATGCATTGTGTGTGTATGTGCATACTGAAGTTAATCCAAAACTGGTAGCAGCAGATCATATACTAATAAACATGATAAAGACATATGCAGTCAATTGGGCAGTCAGAAACAACAGGATCAATCAGAGTAAAGCTTACTGAAGATTATAGTATACAGTATCTGTGTCAATCCCTGTTGTTTTCTGTTATAACAATAGCTTATCTTTGTTTACAGGATAAGATTTAATCTGATCTAGGAATTAATATATGACAGGATCCTTACTTGGTCCATGGTATGCAAAGACACCAGCCTTTGCAAAACAATATGCAAAAAAACAACAAAGCCCCTCAGTGAAATTTAACTGAAATCAAAGCCAGCATAGAAAGACTGAACACTGAAACCGCAGGTTTATTAGTGACAGTGAACTGGGCAGCTCACCCCTGGCTTGTTCCTGGTTTCACTATGCTAAGGATGAAGCTACTGTCTGACACGAGGGGAAGGAGTCTTGTTCAACTTCCTAAAAATGCTAACTTTTGACATGAAGTACACATTATAACCAATGCAGCAGCAGAAAGAAAGAAAAAAGTGTCTAGACATGACTGTATTAAGGTCAGACAGGGGAAAGCATATGATCACACAGTCATGCACAAAACATTGGTAGTATATGGTGCTGACAGGCGTTTGGATGGCTGGGGGTCAAATGTCACTGAACCCATTTCATACTAACATTTGTGAGTCTGTGTGTGTGTACACAGTGCATCCTCGCGTCACGGCGGGGCGTCACTCAATACAGGCAGTGTTGGTTGGAGGTTTGGTTCTCATTGTCTGCACAGTGGGCAACCACACCGGACGCATTCTCATGTGCACACTGACTCAGCGTGTGACAGGAACGTGGGCTCTCCACTGAGCTCCTGAGCAGAAATCAACAGAGGGGAGCACCTTCAGACAGAAGTCAAGTTGACTTCAGCAGCTCTAAAGATTGATGATGTTGGTCCTTGTTTCAGTGGGTCTAAGGAACAAGTGGCCCTCAGAGACTCATTACACCTCAGCAAGATTTGGAGAATGGAGTGACACTGCTCCTGATTCCCAGATTCATCATTTGTATTGGACTTGGTTGCTCTTTCACAAATGTCATCTGGAGAACTGTATCAAAACTAGTGATCTGGTTTCCTGTCCTGTACTGAAAAAAAAAAACAGTAAAAAAAGTATAAATAAACTGAGAGAGGAAAGATTCTAGCAAAATCAGGATAACATAATGCACTTTTGTTTATTTGTCACATGTAAAACATAAACAGTCAGATAATCCATCTTTGTCTAATACCCCAATCATACATCCTTGACCTCAATCCTGGCCACCACCTCCCCGTTTGTTCTTCCAGCCACCATGAGATTCCTCTCTGGCCCTACCCTTAACCCCATTTGTACCCTCCACCCTCACCAGCCCCCTCAACCTGTCAGGGACCAGCTTCCCATGTCCATCACCGGGTGATGGATGAGGTGGAAGGTCGTCACCCCACTCTCCTGAGTTCACTGATCCCATCAGCCATGCAGACACCTCCAAATCATAGTGGGGGGGGTGTTACTGAAATCATATATTTAGAGAGAGAAACCAAGAAAAACGGAGGGTGCTGCTTTGCAAAACTTACCTCTAGACAGATGTGCCTTTGGCATTAAGTCATACTTCTAAATTTCACCAGCTGCCATGCTTTTCTAATGCTTTTAAAATAAATAACCATTCATCAGTTTTTTAACTGTTTCTATCATGTTTTTTACATATATATTTTTGGGGGTTTGAAGTACTTGTTAAATCTTATCTGGTATAGTTTTGATATCCTGGGTCCACGGTAGAAGGTTTATAATCTTGGTACAGCTTCTGTAGGGAGTATACAAAGTGGCAATTAACTAGAGTAAATAAGTACAAGATAGTTTGTATGCTAGAAATTTTCAGGTACAGTCTTAAGATTTATTGCATTTTCCTAATAACAACACTTCTTATTAAAAAGATATCCAGCACTCAGTAGAAAAATAGAAATAATTTGCCGCAAGTGATTTTCTGTAAAACACAATGAAATTTGATTGCACCCTGGTATAAACCAGGGAAGTGTCTCACCCCTGACTGACCTTAAATTGCCTCTTGCTGCCTATGGCACTGTAGGAAAACAGCAGTCCTATTGGCTCATTTCACATATGTTCTACTAAACAAAGCTACAGGATATCTTTGGTGGTTCTGGTTGGAGGGAACCAGAGGAGCAGGCTCAGCTCAGACTTTGGACAAGCCTGTCCCCAGTTTTCCAGCAAGAGAGCACATGGCAGCCAAAGGAAGTGCGATTTCTCTCACTCATATCATTCAGTCAGAAGGAGAGATTGATATACTACAAATATACAAGAAAAATAAACAATACACAATAGTGTCAGGCCCCACCACTGACAGGCGCATAGATCAATGTTATTTCCTGCTTTTGCAAAAATACCTAATTTCCCTTATTTAATCAAGCGTCTCCTTGCTCATGCCCCACTGGCTGATTTATAACACCCACTGCCTTTATGAGTACCTGTTTCATTTTCTTGTCTCTGCTCTGACACCTAAAGTGATAGGAATTTTATGCTTTTGATAACAATATGAGTTTCACTTTGGCCCAGAATTCATGGCCCTGTCAATGGCCGATAAATAACAGCAGCAAAGCAAAAATATTCACATGCTTCGACAACAAAGCATCTGCCCAATGGGATTTACCTTGGGATGAAAGCACAGAGGAGAGAATAAAAAAAAAGAGGGTAGTGCAGGAGGTGTTGCTATCAAAAGAAGGAAGGATCATCGTTAAAGGTCATGTCAATGAGACTGGAAGTGTACGATGTATTCTGGCGTCAAGACTCATACTCAATAGCCTGTAATATAAGCATTTAGATAATGTCACATGAACATAAATGCCATGCTGTGACACACTGTTCTTTGGCCAGCATAAATATGTACAGCAGGGGAGCTCAAACATTTTCATGTCACAGACCCTCAAGTTAAAAACCATTAGAGGTCATGCTGCCCCATATTTGATTTCATTCCAATGCCCCTGAAGTGTGAAAATCTTTGCTGTCGGTGTATTTTTTTTTTTACGTATATGCACTTATACAGTATATACTTCTATATATATGTATATGTATATATATATATATATATATATATATATATATATATATATATATATATATACACATTTTTTTTTATGTGTGTGTATAAAAAGCCAGGACATAAATCTTAAGGACTGTAACTTAGTTCATGATTTACAAGTAAAAGTAAGTCTTATTTAGCTGGAGACCCATTCAGAAGCAGTGCCCTAAGAGTAAGAGGTTTTAAAATTTTTTGTAAGAGCCAAGATCACAAAAGTATCTTTCTGCCCTTACCTCCTCCTTCTCCTTCTCCTCACTCCTTTGGACCCTGAGCTGGAACCTTTCTGCCACTAGCAATAAAAAAAGTGTGACAAAGTAATAGAGCAAAATTCTTATATACATATGAACAATTGCCTCCTAAATGGGTCCTAGAGCCATGAGCTAGATTTATATTGACACATCACACATTCCATTGACAAACTGGCCGTTTATCTGTTGTTGCCAAGAACCTCCTAGTTACCTAGGCAATGACATTAAACCCAGCAAAAACAGCTCTTAACGTGTAATAAAGTCAAAGAAAGATGAGCACTGTACCCGTTGACTCTAGCTAAGGAATAGGAAGTAAAATGTCAAGCATTTCAAACGAAGGCTGCTGTAAACTGTGATTATACGGACTATAGGGAATCACTGCCCAATTTCAATGTTCTCTTTGTTTCAATCCCTGCTGGTCCTCACCAAGTGAATATTATGGGTCTAAGCGAAAGGCAGGAGAATGAGATGTTTTTCGTGTATCGCTACTTGAGCCCTGTTCAGCCCTCAAAAGAGTGCAAAGACAGGGTCACAATAAGTATTTGGTCCTATAGGGGTGTGCACTGGCACAGGCTCTTGGCATGAACACAATGCATGGTGGGGTGGCAGCGGCCAGGAGCATTCTAACAGCAACAGAAGCTGCTTGAGGCTGAACCAGCATCTCAGTGGGGCCACAGGCAAAGATGGGAGGGAGACTGGCTCAGAAGTACAGGGGAAAACTGAGACAGATTTTCTTGCAGGTGTTGAGATACTAGACAGACAAATGATCTAACTGTTGGAGCATTTTGGAGAAAATTAAGTGGGGAAGGGCTCAGATGGATGGGTGGCATAGTGAGGAGGTTCAGAGATCATAGACAAGCAGGATTTGTATTACAAAGGCATACAAGATGGCATATAAGTCATGATAGACCCAAGAAGTCTCTCATATCTGCAGCTCTCATCGTATCATCTGCACCCTGAAGATGGATGGATGGACTGGAGATATGTATACACACTGATATATGGAAAAGTTTTTTTTTTTTTTAACTGTCGTAGTCCATCAAGCCATCCATCAATTAACATCATCGTATCCGGGGTTGGGTTGTGGTGGAAGCAGGTTCAGCTAGGTAGTCTAGATGTCCCTCTCCCCGGCAACACATTCCAGCTCCTCTGGTGGGATTCCAA